AAACTCCCCGCCTCTGTCAGAGTGCAGACGCATAACAGGAAAGTCCGAGCCGAAACTCTCTCTGGGCTGGAGACGAGCTGCGTGGATCCAGTCGATCAACACATCTGCGATGTCGCCCTTGCTGCGCAAGGGGAACATCGTGGTGTAACGCGAGTAGTCGTCAACCACCAACAGGAAGTAACGCTCGTGACCCTCGCCATGGACGCTGGCGGTGCCCCACACGTCCATGTGAAGAGTCTGCAGCAGCGCCTTTGTCGGAGGAGTGAGGGGCGGCGCGCTGCCGCCCCTCGACGTAGGGAACGTAGGTAGGGGCAGGCCTCGGAGGGAGGGGAGGGAGGGACCGGGGGAGACCAGAGACAAGGTTACAGGAGGCTATGCCTTGGAGACGAGGTAGGGAGGGGTTACCAAGGCGGTGGTGCCATAGGAGAGTCTGGTGGGACAGAAGACGACACGAGCACGGAGTAGACTCAGGACCAGACCTGGACGCTGCAGCAAAACACCTGACCCGGCGCAGCTACCTAACCAGACTCAACAACCGGAGGAGACTCAGTAGTCAGTGTGTATAGGCTCGACCCCGGCCGACGGGTAAACGTGGCCAAGTGTCGGCCCGTCCGAGCACACGTGCAGTGGGTCACTCGCTGACTCGCAGGAGTGAACTGGTCAACCCCCCCATCATGTAGATCAGCACCATTCACTAAGTTCGTAGAGAACAAGGGGAGGTAGAGACCTGACTAGGTGCCAGTGGGGGCTGCCGAGCACGGTAAGACAGTGGAGAAGCGAGCAAGGACAGGACCCCCAGAGGGGTCCGCCAAGGAGACCGCAACTGGCCGACTAAGCGGCATAAGCGTGGTGCGGTCTCGAAAGAAGGAGCGGGAAGCACCCGAGTTAAGAGTGACGGTGTGTAAGGCTTGAGCCGACGTGGTACCTGAGAGAGCAGACTCACCAGCACCTGGGGCAGCAGACGCACTAGCACCTAGAGCAGCAGCCTAACCAGCACCTAGAGGAGCAGCCTCAATGCCCGGGTCAGGCGGAACACACAGGTAACAGTCATTCTCATCACTAGTAGGCAATGCATACATGGCAGTGAGGATAGCATCATAGTCAAGAGTATAGATATCTACTCGCAGCCTAAGCAGCTCCACCCTGTCAGGGAGCTCAGCCGCGTCGCCAAACTATGTACGCCAGGCGTCGCTCAGACGGGCGAAGCAGCGGGACTCTGCGTGACCAAACGTCCCGCAAGGCTGGCCAGTCGGAGCACCAGTGCAAATGACGTACGGACAGCGAGCAGTACCCCGTGACCCGCCACGCTGTGCGTACCACTCACGAAGCTGCTGGGGCGAAAGGACCGCGCACGGACGACGCTACAGCTGCACCTGGCCACTACAAGCAGCTGCCAAACTACTCACTCCAGGATGACTCCCACTACGGCCACCTCGACAACCCCAAGTAGCGTACCACTCACGAAGCTGCTGGGGCGTGAGGGACTCATGCGGACGTCGCTGGACCTGCATCTGGTCAACGCCAGGAGCAGCAGGAGCAATGGCAGCCGAAGTAGCAATAGCAGTAGTCGCAGCGCGGCCAACCCCTATAACCCCAAGTAGCGTACCACTCACGAAGCTGTTGGGGGGTAAGGGACTCACGCGGACGACGCTGGAGCTGCATCTGGCCACGCCAGGAGCAGTAGTAGCAGTAGAAAGATTAGTAGCAGTAAGAGCAGTAGTAACAGCAGTAAGGGCAGGGCAGTGCTCACCAGTGGCGAGAAGGGCAGGCGTACGATGGCGGCAACGGCGAGGCAGCTACCACTGTAGGGCGAGGGCTCCGCGGCAGCTGCAGGGGCGGCCGTTGTAGGGGCAGCTGCTCTAGGGGAAACTGCTCCAGGGGCGGCAGTTGTAGGGGCGGCTGCTCTAGGGGCGGCTGCTGCAGGGGTGGCTGCTCCAGGGGCGGCTGCTGCAATGGCGGCTTCTCCAAGGGCGGCTGCTGCAGGGGTGGCTGCTCCAGGGGCGGCTGCTGTAGGGGCGGCTGCTCCAGGGGCGGCTGTTGCAGGGGCGGCTGCTCTAGGGGCGGCTACTACAGGGGTGGCTGCTCTAGGGGCAGCTGCTGCTGTGGCGGCTGCTCCTGGGGCGGTTGCTTAAGGGGCGGCTGCTACAGGGGAGGCTGCTCCAAGGGCGGCTGCTGCAGTGGCGGCTGCTCCAGGGGCGGTTGCTGCAGTGGCGGCTGCTCCAGGGGCGGCTATTGGAGTGGCGGCTGCTCCAGGGGCGGCTGCTGCAGGGGCGGCTGCTGCAGGGGCGGCTGCTGCAAGGGTGGCTGCTCGAGGGGGCGGCTGCTGCAGTGGCGGCTGCTCCAGTGGCGGCTACTCCAGGGGCGGTTGCTGCAGGGGCGGGCTGCTCGAGGGGCGGCTGCTGCAGGGGTGCTGCTCCAAGGGTGGCTGCTGTAGTGGCGGCTGCTCCAGGGGCGCCTGCTACAGGGGCGGCTGCTCCAGGGGCGGCTGCTGCAGTGGCAGCTGCTCCAGGGGCGGCTGCTGCAGTGGCGGCTGCTCCAGGGGCGGCTGCTGCAGTGGCGGCTGCTCTAGGGGCGACTGCTGCAGGGGCGGCTGCTCCAGGGGCGGCTGCTGCAGGGGCGGCTGCTCCAGGGGTGGCTGCTGCAGTGGCAGGTGTTCCGGGGCGGCTGCTTCAGGGCGGGTGCTCCAAGGGCGGCTGCTCCACGGGCGGCTGCTGCAGGGGAGGCTGCTCTAGGGGCGGCTGCTGCTGTGGCGGCTGCTCCAGGGGCGGCTGCTGCAGTGGCGGCTCCTCCAGGTTCGGGTTAGGGCAGGGTGCCGCGGCGGGCAGGGGTGACGCCACGCAGGTCCCGCAGGGGCGTCGCGACGCACAGGAGCCGCGCCTCGCGGGTCCCACAGGGGCGACGCGACGAGGCGGGGCGACGCGGCGGGGCCGCGCCTGGCGACGGGGCGGGGGCCGCGATTGGCGACGGGGTGAGGCCGCGAAGGGGCCGCGAAGGGAGCCGTGAGGGGGCTGCGAAGGGGCCGCGAAGGGGGGCCGCGAGGGGGCCGTGAAGGGTCTTGCGAAGGGGCCGTTAAGGGGCCGCGAAGGGGCCGTTAAGGGGCCGCGAAGGGGCCGCGAGGGGGCTGCAAGGCTGCCGCGTGAGAGGGGCCGTGAGAGGCCGTGAGAGGGGCCGCTACGGGGCCGTAGGGGAGCGCGACGGGCCACTAAGGGTAGGGGACGCGACGGGAGGGTAGGCACAAGGGGCGCGACTCAGGCAGGGGCGAAGCGCGTTCTGGGTAGGAAAAAAAATCGATATTTGGTGGGCCCTAGGAAACGTTCCACTAGGGAACCTGCTCTATACCATGTGGAAGAATGAGGAATGAATGAACTAGCAAGCAGGTGGGTACAAGTAGGAAAAACTAAAAAGTGTTGTACCCTATACTGCCTAACCCACTATAGCCTACACAGACTATAGCATATGAGTTTGACACTTTGGCACCATGCTACAAAACCAGGAAAGCTACCTCTGAGTGACCACTGCCCCGCCTTAGGGACGTCGTTATTCCTCTAGAGCCTTCCGCTGCGCTCTAGCAATTTTCAGATCGTATCATGAAGCACAGTCGGTTTTCAGAATTTTCCTAATGTTCACTGTGTTGAAGCCTGTCACATCAAAGCATACGCTTATTTACCACCCACTTGTCGCAGGCATGGTAAAGAATCTGGGGTTTAGGGGAAATTCTGTTTGATAGACACAATTTTGATTAGAGGTTTGCCCAATAAGATGCCGTAAAAACACGCCCTAAGCATCTACATTTTGATTTCTGGTTTACCCACAATAATGTATTTATTCCCAACAGTGTATGCCAATACTGTAACTGGGCTTCACTTTAGTTGATTATGCTATAATTTTCTTCTCAACCTAGAACCTAGGGGAAGTACTCAACAGTTGGAACATACATGTGCCATATATAACCTACTAGTCAAGGGGCAAGGCGATCTCATCTTTACCAGCAATCGCGCGGTCTTCTAGTGGAGTTAGGCTGGTGAGGTGAGGAGTGAGGGGCCAAGTGTGGGCAGGCTGGCATATTCCCCACCTCAATCCCATGGACAAACAAACACCTCAGTCGGGCCAGGCTCGCCACAACCCCAACACCCTGAATCGCCAGCTATCCCCCTGCGTGTGGGCTGGCAGCACTACAAGACCGAGTGGCTGCACGGCGAAAGAAAGTGATGCAGAACGAAAGCAGACGCAGCGAAATGTGACTGTCCTCCGCACAGTTCGCGTAGGCGTAATCAGCTACCACCACACGTGAGAATCTCGCGAAGATATCGACGAAAGAGAAAGCAATTTCTGCGCGCCGCGCGGTTTGGGTCCATAGCACCTACAGTATTGATCCTCCATCAGATTCAAGCACCTCGCGGAACTTCGGATGGGGCCGAATGGGGCCGAATGGGGCCCGATCTCAGGAAGGCACCTACAGATAGATACAAGCACGACAGTCAGCACGACAGTGTTATTTTAGTTTCCTGTCGCGACCTTACAGGCATTAATCCAAGACAGTTCGCAGAGTCTTTACGTGAAAGGCACGGAGACCCCTAACATCCGGTGCATCGCTGCGTCATTAGGCATCCACAGCAAGAACCATGCGACGGCCCTGCTCACCACTTCGCCGCTTAACGGGGCGGAGTATGTCGCGAATATCGCCTGCGCTAGTGCCAGTGACGCTGCTGCTATGGCTGTCGCTCGCCGCGTCGCACTGGCGACGGTCCCCTCGGGCAGCAACTTGAGCAGCATCTCGGGCAGCAGCTCGGCGAGCTGTCCCGCTTCAGAGACATGGTGAGCGCTCTCGAACTTATCACAGGACGCGTGAAACATTCTGACAGTTTTGTACTGACTCGACTCAAACACACCATTTTTCAGGAAAAGTTTATCTCCCCGACTGTGTTTTCTGAATCATTGAATGAAAAACACATGAGGGTCGCTCCTGGCAGCAGCTCGGCGAGCTGTACCGCTTCACAGACATGGTGAGCGCTCTTGAGCTGTGGAGCGGCTCGCTCTCGAACAACGAATTTCTCTTGAGGCGCTTTACAAATTAGCTCCTCAAATATAGGGGCCTCAAAACGAGCTGGACCAGTTCAGACATAGAGAGCGCACTCGAGTGTTTGAGCACTTTTGAGAAATCTCAAAAGTGACGCAAGTAGAGAAATTATCGTCGCGTTTCGATGATTTTGAGTGCACGTGCCTTCCACGCGTGTTCCCGTCAAATAGCTCCACCGTCACCTCCTCTTGGCTCGTCGAACTCTCCCTGAGTCCACAATCCTCGCTTTTCCTCTCCCCGAACCCCAACATCCCTTCAGCCTGACGACAGCCCTCGAAGACGATTAGAGCGCTTCCAGTCCGATGAGACCCCAATCCTGCAGTCCCTTCCAACCGCCGCCATCCGCGCCGTGAAAAGCGCCGGCAGCAGCGCCGACCGCAGACGCGGAGGCGCCACCAAGGTGGAAGGCGCTTCCGCCGCCGCTGCTGGCTTCCCCTCCTCCGCCTTCCCCCGCGTGTTCGAGTCGGGGGCAAGGGCTCGTGCGGCTTCCCCGACACGCGCGCAGACCGCGGACGAGTGCGTGGCGGACCTGGCGGAGTTTCCCGCACTCAGCGCGCGCAGTGGTTCCGCCACCGTGCGGAAGTTGGCGTGCCTGGCGCACAACTACCTGCGCCCGTGGATGGGGATTCCGGGCGTCACCGCGGGGATGGGCGCGCGGGAATGATATCCGCGGAATTCTGCACCAAATGGGAACCATGGCAAATGTATGTGAGGGCGATCACGAGCATAACGGTGACAATAGTAGCGCTACGTGTTCTCGAAACTTCAAAAAGGGTGCTCTCATTTCGCATTCCGCCACGCCCTCCTCTCCTTACTACGCTGTAAACTATATGATTTTCTTACTCGACCGTCTTCTGCTTCTATTCTCCCAATACCACACCCCCTTCTCCTCCCGTCCTCTCCCTCCCCGTTCTCCCCTCCCTCCCGGCACCCCCGCGTCTCATTCCGTTTCCTCCTTTACCATCCCTCCCCCTCCCTTGGGTCCGACCAGATCCTATCGTGCTCCGGGCACATTCGAATCGTGCGCGGAAAAGTTTTCTTCCGCTGGGGGCTTTCCAGTTCGACTGGTACCGCATGCGCCGATTCGTCCTTACCGTCAAAATGATCCAGGACGCCATTAGCGCGTATAAACTGTACAGCCTGAACGCGGAGCTGTTTATAAACACATGCGATCTGCCAACCAGCAAGGCGGACTCGGTCGCGCGGCAGGATCGCGCGGGAATGCCTTTGTTCAGTCCGCACGTCCGTCCCCGGCTCGCTCGATATTCCGTATCCCGACCCCGTCGATCTGTCCAAGAGCTACTTCCGAGACGTTGAGGATAAGGTGCGTGCGACCGTATTTTACGCAGTGGATCTGAAGTGAAGTTGGTCAGCTGGAAATATTTGCGCACGGATCTGTGACTGTTCTTTCCCACGCCGCTAAACCTGAAACCTCGATACTCGCTACCCGACTCCACTGTACAGTTCAGGTGAGTATACTGGACAAAAGTGCTTGAATACTTCAGCAAACACAGTAAATATTGTGGCGATTTCCAATCAATCACCCTATCTCCAATCGCTTCATATCCATGCAAAGGGCAAATCAGAGCCTCATTAACGGACTATCCTCCCCTCCCTTTTCCCACCCCCACACCTCAGGTCCCTTGGGAGCAAAAGCAGGGCCGGGCGGTGTTCCGGGGCGGGATGACAAACTACCACATCGCCATGCCCATGCACTGGCGCGCCAGCCCTCGCTTTCCGCGTGCACCGCATGGCAGATGCCCGCCCGGATCTGCTAGACGCGCGCGTCATGAGCGGTGTGGATTGTGAGATGGCGTGAGAGCTATGGAGGCGGATGGGGTGCGGCTGGGCGGGAGATTAAAGCCCGAGGAGCTGCAGGGGTTTAAGTATGAGCTGGATGTGGACGGCGGGACAGGGAGCGGCCGGACGTGTGGGATTCTGGCGAGCAATCAGGTATTCAAGTAGTCTCATTTTGGCTCCCTGTTGTAGTGCTCTCTATTTTGCTCCTCACCCCATTTTCCCATCCCCCCTCTCCCCCATAATTGCTTCCTCTCTCATGCACACTCGCTCCCACACACATATTCATGGTGTGTCACCTCTCTCTCCTCTCCCCACATGTACTCATCTGCCAAGCCAGATAGCACTACCAGAGTGCTTGACATGTGTCAAAAGCCCTACTCATTCATGCCAGTAACCTCATCCTCCTACAACCCCATTTCCCCCCCCTCCCTCCTTCGTTCCTCTTCTCCTCCATCTCCTCCTCTTGTTCCAACCCGTATCCCTCCTGCTTCCCTCCCCCACCCTTCATAACGTGTTTACAGGTTTGATTTGCCAAGCCAGCGAGTACTATCAGTTCTTCCACCTGCTGCTGTGCCACATGACTCCCACCCTTCCCACCCACCGCCACTTCTCACTTCCTTTTCCTTCCTCCACCTTTTCTGATGTGCGCACAGGTTCTGATCCGCCAGGCCAGCGAGTACTATCAGTTCTTCGACCCGCTGCTGTGCCCTATGAAGCACTTCCTCCCCACCCACCGCTACTTCAACAACCTTTACTCGCAAATCCAGTGGGCCCGCGCCAACGACCAACGGGCACGGGAGATTGTTGCGGCTGCCAATGACTTTGCCAGGTAAGTCACACAACCGAAACCTATTACTTCCAATGAAGCACTTCCTGCCCACCCACCGCTACTTCAGCAACCCCTACTCGCAAATCCAGTGGGCCCGCGCCAACAACCAACGGGCACGAGAGATTGTTGCTGCCGCAAATGACTTTGCCAGGTAAGTCGCCTATTTACTAACATGCAGTGATAGGGGTCGTTTTCCTCCCCTCCATCCCTGTTGTCTTCTCAGTCTCCTTGCCCCTCCCTTCCCCTCCCCCACACACCCTCTCCTTCCTGTAACTAACTTTGCCCGGTTCATCGCAGTTTCTCCCCGCACCATTCCCCCTCAATTTCTCTCATTTCTTCCCACACTTGTTTCGTCTCTCATCCCTCCTCTCTCATTCCTCCTCTCTCATCCCTCCTCTCTCGTCCCTGCTCTCTCATCCCGCTCCTATCCTGCAGCACCCTGTGCACGTGGGAGGGGTGCCAGCTATTCTGGGCTATTTTGCTCGTCAAGTACCCCAAAGTGCCTTAAAGCACAGCGCCAGCATCACAGCTCCGCCTCCCCTGATGCCCCTGGGTCGTTCCCCCCCTCTCTAACCATTTTCTCATGTCTTTCCCCCCCTGTTTCCTCTCTTATCCTTCTCCTCCCTGCAGCACCCTGTGCATCACAGCTCCTCCGATCCCCCTTGAGGGTACTTCTCCCACTCTCACACAACTTTCTTCTCTATTCCTCACTTCGTCTCGGGCTTCTCTTATCCTCTCCCCTCATGCAGCACTCTCTGCACATGGGAGGGACGGCGTCTCTTCTGGGCTATCCTGCTCGCTAAGTACGCCACCAGTGCCCTAGAGGACAGCGCCAGCATCACAGCCCCGCCTCTCCACCCCTGCTCCTCTCCTCCTACTCAAGCCGACGTAGAGAAGCCCAGCAAGGCCACGCGGCACTTGAGACAAAAGATGCCAGCCGTGTGGCCGCCCTGGTGTGGTACAAAAGACGAGGTCCCCAACCAGCCGGAGTGTACTTATTACTGTATCGGGTACTTGGACGACGAGAGCAAGTGGAAGTGGCTATCGGGGGAGCTCTTAGAGGGGATAGAAGTGTTCAAGCCAAGCAATGAGAGGGTGCGATTTCGAGACGAGTGAGGGAGAAAGGCGGAAAGGGATCACTGCAGGAAGTCTTATGCAACAGGAATGAACTGCTGGTGTGCCGAGCCCAAGTGGCCCAGTGACTGCAGCTGATGAATGAACTGCTGGTGTGCCGAGCCCAAGTGGCCCAGTGACTGCAGCTGATGAAATGCTGCTCATGTGCCTCTTTGGGAGTCACTTTTGAGAATTCTCAAAAGCTGCTGATGTGCCTCATGTCATGCGCTGCCTGCAGCTAGCCTGGCTGTGGCCCAACTCCTGGATGCTGCGCTGCAAGAATACCAGTGCCTGTGGGAATAAAGGACCCAAGTGGCCCAAGTACGAGTGGCTGCAGGAGGTTACAGGTGGTAACTAAAGAAAGCTCACTCCATGGCTTCTTCGCTACAATGTAGTGCACTGAAGCTCACAATAGGATTTCATGGACCGTGTCGAAGCGTGTACAGTTTCTGTGCAATGCGAGCAACTTACGGTATCGCATTTCCTGCATTCCCACCAAGTTTAATTGGTGCTGACGGGGACAAAGTAATTCAACCATGTGTAAACTTATTACTTATAAGATAAATGCATTCATATTTCATGGATGAAAGCACACACATAAATTTCTCACTTCAAGAACAAGCAGACAGCAATAGAAGAACGATCTAGAACCAGCTACAACAAAAAAGCCAGTAATCACAAACAAGCATGGAGTGGGAGGATGGGCTTTGATGCACCTCAGCAGCACGTGCAATGGGGCTTGAGGTGAATCAAAGCTCATCCATTCACTGGCTAGTCCCCTCCCCTGGTCATCTCCTTGACATTCCCTTATCACTCCCATTGGCATTCCCTTATCATTCCCTTTGCCATTCCCTTCACTAGTTTCTTGTCCCTCGGCTTTCTCCGCCTCTGTGCCTTGACTGAGACTGAGTTGCTTGAGGCACTTGGTTTCCTGCCTGCCTGTCCACTGTGAACCGCTAAGGCCTGCCCCCTCCCATGCCTCCTCCCCCCATGCCTCCTCCCCCCATGCCTCCTCCCCCCATGCCTCCTCCCCCCATGCCTCCTCCCCCCATGCCTCCACCTCCGCCCATCCCTCCCCCTCCCCTCATCCCTCCTCCGCCCATGCCACCCCCAGGCCCTCCCATTCCTCCGCCCCCTCCCATGCCCCCGCCTCCTCCCATGCCCCCGCCTCCTCCCATCCCCCCACCACCGCCCATCCCTCCGCCTCCGCCCATCCCCCCAGACCCTTCCATGCCACCACCAGCAGCACCACCGCCCATGCCTCCTCCGCCAGTCACTCCCCCAGGCCCTCCCATTCCCCCGCCAGCAGCACCGCCGCCCATGCCTTCGCCGCCCATGCCTCCGCCGCCCATGCCTCCGCCGCCCATGCCTCCGCCGCCCATGCCTCCGCCGCCCATGCCTCCGCCGCCCATGCCTCCGCCGCCCATGCCTCCGCCGCCCATGCCTCCGCCGCCCATGCCTCCGCCGCCCATGCCTCCGCCGCCCATGCCTCCGCCGCCCATGCCTCCGCCGCCCATGCCTCCGCCGCCCATGCCTCCGCCGCCCATGCCTCCGCCGCCCATGCCTCCGCCGCCCATGCCTCCGCCGCCCATGCCTCCACCGCCCATGCCTCCGCCTCCACTCATACCGCCCCCAGATGGGCCTCCCTGACTGCCGCCCTGACTGCCACCCGTCCCTCCGCTGTAATCCCCACTGTAGTCCCCAGTGTAGCTCCCTCCGTTATAGTCACCACCATTGCCACCACCATTGCCCCCTCCAGTGGTCTCCCCGCTGTAGTCACCACCATTGTTGTAATCCCCTCCATTCCCCCCACTATAGTCACCACCACCATTCCCACCACCATAGTCTCCGCCATTGCTTCCCCCACCATAATCCCCCCCAGGTCCCCCCTGCCCTCCTCCAGCTCCCCCTTGCCCGCTCCCAGGTCCGCCCTGCCCATTCCCAGGCCCCCCGCCTTGCCCTTGCCCTCCCCCACAGCCCCCACCAGCAGCAGCAGCACCACCAGCCCCTCCCCCCCCTCCTGCACCGCTGTAGTACCCACCTTGTCCGACTGTGTTCCTCCCACCATTACCGCCATTGCCGCCGCTGTAGCCCCCTCCGTTGCTGTAGTCACCACCATTGCCGCCCACAGCTCCCCCTTGCCCGCCCCCAGCACCAGTTCCGCCCTGCCCGCCCCCAGGTCCGCCCTGTCCTCCTCCAAATCCCCCCTGTCCCCCACCGAATCCGCCTTGCCCGCCCCCAGGCCCTCCCTGTCCCCCACCAGGTCCCCCACGTCCGCCCCCAGGCCCTCTTCTGCAGTCCCCCCCACCGCCTCCCCTTCCTCCGCCTCCAGCACCCCCACCACCTCTACCTCCGCCACCACCACTCCCCCCACCACCGCTGCCACCCCCATAGTCACCACCGCTCCCCCCATTATTGTCACCTCCACCATTGTAGTCCCCTCCATTCCCCCCGTTATAATCACCGCCGCCATTACCACCACCGTAATCACCACCCCCATTGTTCCCCCCGTTGTAGTCACCCCCGTAGTCGCCCCCACCTCCGCCAGTGCCTCCCCCCGCGCCCCCACCAGTGCCGCCACCCCCTCCCCCTCCGGACGAGGCAGAGGAGCACGCGAAGTCCACTTGCAGCGCTCCACTGGGAGGAGGGTTAAGAGGGGAAGAACGGGAGGGGGAAAGAGGGAGAGGGAGAGAGGGAGACGGGAAAGCAGGAGCATGGGAAAAGATGAAACTAAAGAAAACAAATGAAAGATGGGAAGATTTGAAGGCTGAAGTTATATGCCACGGGACTGCACTCACTCATCGCTGGCTTGGAACATAATGGATCTGCACTCGCTCTCTCACCCTTTCTGGACTGGAACACTCACTCATATCCGGCGTGGAAGCCGAGCGACTGCGAGCCATCGGGGGAGTGCGCCCACACGAGTGTGTTGCTGCCCTGCACGCTCACCGGCACTGAGCCGTCACCTGCAGAGCGGTTGAACCTGTTAATAGGAGGGAGGTGTGAGAGGGGAGGGGATAGTAATGAGTGTGTGGGTCCGAGCCTCCGAGAGGAAAAGATGTAAGCAAAAAAAAAAGAACTCACACCCTGAACCCGAAACCCTGAGCCTCATTTTTGCAAAGTAGATTTTCCTGACATAACGACAACAAAAAGCCGCAACATCTCACACGCGCCCCGACGTACTTGAAAATGGTGGATCCCGAGGGTGACGTGGCGAGCTGCGCGTTGCCGATATCGAAGCTGCTTGTGGGCTGAACGTCACTTTGCGCCGTGCCGCTCATGTACACCGCCTGGACGGCGGCGCCGCCCGCCAGATTGCCCACCACGGCGTCGGACGCCGCCATGCGGCCCGTCGCCGACCACCCCACGGCGAACCACCCCGCCGCCGCCGCGCTGCCGCCCGCCGCTTCTAGCGCCAAGGCGAGGCGCGACGAGTCCACTGCGCGCCAATGCAGCGTCATTCCAGTGGACCCCAGAGCCGCCGACCACGCGAACCCCTCCAGCGCCGACGCCGCGCACCCCGCGCCCGCCGCCGCGGCTGTAGCAGCCGCGGAGCCAGCAGCGGCGGTTGTAGCACCGGCGGTAGTGGCAGGAACTGTAGTGCTGCCAGTGTTGCTCCTTTTACCGGCGTTGACATTGCCACGAAGAATCGTGCTTCCTGACGTCCATATCGTGTGCGCTATGGTCCGGCTGCTCGATACCACTCCCTGCGACCGAAGCGTCTTGTGTCTCGCGCCGTCTGTGGCGCTTGGAAAGCAGAGCAACGCAGAGCCCAGCAGCAGTAGAAGAATCACGCCGCTGCTGTCTGCTATACTAGCAGGCGCTATCGCCTTGCGTCGATGCATTGCGAAGGGAGAGTAGCCGCTGAACAAAATCAGCGAAGCAAGTGTCACGCCTTTTTGTAGGAAAAATGTGCAGCAAGCAATAAATTTATAGTAGCCGTAGAATGTCTGTTGCTGTCTCTGTGTTGTGTATTGATTTTCGCATTCTGTTCAATTTATCTACGTGGAGTGCCCCTCTGCAAAACTGACAGGAGAGAAATCGTACTGCGAACACCGGCGACTGCGCATAACAGGTCGTTCGGGAGACAAACGTGGGCGAAAAGCTCCAAACCGAGCTCGCGAAACTCGCAAACCTTCTGATAACTCTCTGCGAGCGCTGCGATCCTGATTCGGAGAAATTGCTTGACGACGGATTCAGAAGTGCGCTGACCCTCGTCATCGCAACCTTGAGAATAGCTGACTGGGCGTGTTTGACTCGTCAACTTACTGGCTCGACAACAGTCCAGAGAATTCAAGAGAACGCTGCATGAGTGGCGCATCTGCTATAAGCAAAGAGTGTAGACCCTTAAACCAATGAAGTGAATATAATAAATACAAGTCCCGTTCCATGCATAGCGAACATTTCGCCATGTTTCATGATGTATTTTAATTTATAAAACTCAAAATAGTTTTCTTTCCCTTAATAAATAGTCTATAATATTCTGAATCTGTTTTAGATGACTTCTTGTAATATGCGTTGCAAATACGCGTTGCATTGAAATAATGGCAAACATTTACGGTGTAATATCAAGTTTGAATACTTGGATGTTGGGGGCTCGGCTTTGCAGCTTCGTTGAAGGGGCTCCAGCCAACCAGGAGGTGTGCTGACATTTTGCAGCCTATTGCTGATCTGGTGCTTGCGTCACATGGGCTCTCGCATCCACGTCATCCGCCGACTTGACCAAAGGGAATTGTTTCCCGCCAACAACTGCCCCTTTCCCGACGCCCTGAATCTGAAACAATGGCGCGATGCTGTTTTGTGAACCACCTGGAGCCATAATTGCAGCTAGTTCTGATTCACAAGCGCCTAGTCTTCCTGACGCTCGTTTTGTGACGGACCATGGGGCTAGCGCGAGCTTGATTGAGCATTTTGAGCCTAGGACTGGCGAGTTTCTCATACTGTACCGTCGCCTGTCAGGCTGCAATAACATCACTCATCACATACATTGTCGCTCCGTGCTTCCACGGCTCGTTCACAGCTGCGTCGTTCATTGTAGGACACTCACAACTGCTTGCAGCCGAATTGCGGATTCGCTCTATGCACAAATGCCATCGCACCACATCCGTTCCGCTATTATAAACGGTTTTGTTAGCTAAGTGTTTGTTGAAGCTCGTCATTTCTGACGCCGCTGACGGTCATCCATCGACCCGTTACCATCATGCTGCTCGTTAGGATAGGTTGTGGGCTACGGGGAACAACGCTGGCTGATCAATAGTGATCAGGCTTCAGTTGAAACGACAGACCGAAACCAGGCTCCACCGCAGGACTATAGCGCAATCAAGACCTGCATTGTAACAGTCATGTCCAGATTTCGGAGATTAGCTAGGCTGATAGAGGGCATAACGTTCCCCCGGAGGCTGATTCTCGCCGACCAGAGAGCAATAGCCGGACCAGAAGCAGTGCAAGAATGGAGTCAACATTCAGCTTGTACAGTGCGACATACGAGAAGCTTAGTACCGGCAAACTTGTCTGACCGTAGAACAAGTGCAGCTGTAGTTGTACCGGAGTGCGCTCTTAACGGGTTGAGTCAGCGGTGGTCTTATAACGGGTTGAATCAACGGTGGTCTTATAGCGGGTTCAGTCAACGAAGATTCTGGAGCTCGGCAGCGTCGTCTGGCGATGCTCTTCCAGCCTCGGCTCCTGAAGTCAAGGTCTTCCGAGCGGGCCCGCAAGGCGAGTACGAGCGGCGGAAGCAGCTGGGGGAGCTGCGAACGGGCGATCCGTTTCAGGACGAAACCGTGGCGACGCTCCAGAAGCTTTACGACGTGCTGATCGGATTCGGAGGCCACCCCGAGTTCCAACTGCAGAAGTAAGCATCCCATTCCCTTTTCCATCCCACTCCTTCCGCCTTCTCCTCCTCTCTCATTCTCTCCCCATTTCCCCCCATTCCCCCCCACTTCCCTCTCCTTCTACATCCCCTCTCCTCCTTCCCCCCTTCTTTCCCCTTCCCCTACTCCCGTCTTCCCTCCCCTCCTCCCTCTCTAGCGTGCTCCGTTCTCCACCTCTCCACCGTCACTTTCACCATTGTTTCTTCTTTCCAGCATCTTTCAGTTCACATGTTGTTCTTTCCTCCTAAAAAGCCTCTCCCTGTAGTTCTTTAAAGCCTCGCTGGAAATGATTCATCCATTCCCATCCCTTCCCCAACAACAAGCAGGAGGAAGAGGCGGCCGGCCTTCTGGTCGCTCTTCATGCGCAAGCCGCAGAGCCACCCGCCCAGGAGAGGGCTTTACCTGCCCTCGCCATAGCCCCTCTGTGTATAATATACCTCATCGTCCCCATTCACTCCCAACACCGCGCAGGAGGAAGCGGCGGCCGGCCTTCTGGTCGCTGTTCATGTGGAAACCACAGAGCCACCCGCCCATGAGGGGCCTTTGCCTGTAGTCCTTTAAGGCCTCTCTGAGAATCCCCCCATAATCCCCATTTTCTCCCGAAACCTGTGGCAGGAGGAAGCGGCGGCCGGCCTTCTGGTCGCTGTTCATGCGGAAACCACAGAGCCACCCTCCCATGAGGGGGCTGTACCTGTGGGGCGGCGTGGGCACAGGCAAGACCATGATGATGGACCTCTTCTTCCACGAGCTGTGAGTGTTGAAGATCCTCTACCACGACTCCATGCTCTCAGTGCACTCCATGCTCTCAGTGCACTCCATGCTCTCAGTGCACTCCATGCTCTCAGTGCACTCCATGCTCTCAGTGCACTCCATGCTCTCAGTGCACTCCATGCTCTCAGTGCACTCCATGCTCTCAGTGCACTCCATGCTCTCAGTGCACTCCGTGCTCTCAGTGCACTCCGTGCTCTCAGTGCACTCCGTGCTCTCAGTGCACTCCCTGCTCTTAGTGCCTTGCGAGCAGCTTGGTTGATGCATGTTCACCATTCGTCCCCCTTGTGTTTTTCCCTCTCGTCAGCCCCGAGTGGATCACCAAGTCGAGGATTCACTACCACGACTTCATGCTCTCAGTGCACTCCAGACTGCAGGCAAGTCTTGCCACGTAGGCAGTGAGGCCACGTATGCAGCTCCCTGCAGAGTTCTCTGTATTCCTCTGGAAGGATCATTTTCTGTTTTCAAAGGACAATTTGCTGTTGCTGCCTCTGGATAAGGCTTGATGTCCTGCTCTCCGCCTTCTCCCTCTCCTCTCCTCGCAGAAACACAAGGGCACGTCCGACCCCTTGGAGGTTGTGGCGACCGAAATCACGTCTGAAACGAGAGTTCTGTGCTTGGATGAGTTTATGGTGAGTGTTGCATGGGGTGAGCTTTGAGTCGACTAGAAAGTCACAAGGGCACATCTGATCCTTTGGAGGTCGTGGCTACCAAAATCACGTCTGAAAGGAGAATTCTGTGATTGGATGAGTTTATGGTGAGTGTTGCACAGAATGACAGAAAATAACAAATGCTTGTCTTGCCACTTGAAAACTGTGGCGAACGAGATCACATCAGAAACAGGAGTTTATGTCTTGGTGATTTTATGATGCATGCAGCATGGGGTGACTTTTGCGTTCGCTAAAGTCACAACGGCACATCTGACCTCTTGGGGGTGATGGTTAACGAAATTACCTTTGTAACGAATGCTTTGTGCGTGAATGAGCTCATGGTGACTGGAGTGCAAAGCAGTAACATTATGAAAAAGCATGGATGAGTTAATGTTTGAATGTTTTCGTAATATGTGTGGAACTTGTAGTGAATGTCGTGTGAGGTGAGCTCCTGCTGTTGTCATGCTTGCGGCTTGCCATTTCTTTCCTTTTCTGCATGCCTTCACCACCTTACACTCCTCCAATCTTTCTCACTTCCTCCATATCTCTCCCTGCCTCTCTGACCCGCACTGCAACCCTCCCAACCCCTCCAACCACCACTTGTCAGGTAACAGACGTTGCAGATGCCATGATTCTCAACCGCCTCTTCAAGCATTTATTCGACAGAGGACTGGTGAGAGGCCTTGGGAAGTAGCTACCTCCCTTTCTAACTCTTTTCTCGTAGCTGTTTTCCTTGCTAGCGACACTGATGTCTTGATGCCATGATCCTCAACCGCCTTCTCAAGCACCTGCTTGACAGACGACTGGTGAGAAGCTACCTAAATCCCTCTTACAATACGGAGGCGACTTCTGCGTCGACTCAAAAGCCTCCATAATGCCATGAGTCTCAACTGCCTCCTCGAGCACCTGCTTGACAGACGACTGGCGAGTTACGTCCTTCCATATCAGCCCAGGTTTGAGATGTGTCATAACCTTTTCCCACACCACCAGTACCCTCATGTCTTTTCCGTCATCCCACTCGTATCCATGATCTCCAGGTGCTCCTAGCAACATCCAATCCAACCGCCCCCCTATACGCCTCTACGAGGCTCCAACAGGACCAAGCACTGAGGCGTTGCATAACTTCATCCATACTTTATCCATGCATCAACACCTGTCGTTTCTCCAGGTGCTCGTGGCAACATCTAACCGCCCCCCAATACGCCTCTACGAGAACGGCCTTCAACGGGACCTCTTCCTCCCCTTCATCGCTCTCCTCCAGGTGGGCCCCAGCTCCCTCTCAGGTGCCCCATTGCTCCCATTCAGGTGGTGCTTCTCCCTTCCAGGTGAACCCCCTCTCCCTTGCAGTGCAGGTAACCTCCTACTCTCTTTCCCCACCAGCTAGCTTCAAAACACCTATTCCGCCGCCACCCCGCCTTCCCTCCACACCACGTCCTCCTGGCTTTGCAAGAACCTCTTCCTCGCCCCGGTTCCAAGGAACCTCTTCCTCCCCTCTTCCTCCACTCGGCCTCCCCTTGGCTTTGCAAGTATGGGGAGGCGAAGGGGAGGAAGAGGGAGGTTCCGACCCTGGCTCCTCTGCTACAGCTGCTTGTTTGTGGTAGAGTCAGTCCGAAACACTGTAAATCCAAAAGTGCTTGCCACACGATGCAGAAAATAAAGCAAGCACACGCATGGTACAAGCAAAGGGTAGGTGGGACGGGCTGGGCCGGCCCAACCCAAGCCATGTGGCCCTGCCCGAACCAATTCATGTGGCTTGGTTCGGGCTAGTTTTGAGGCGCCTCAAAACTAGGCTTGGTTCGGGCTTCAGGCCGGACGAATTACGAACCAGCGTGAAACAGGTTGGTCAGGACTTTGGCCCTTTGCTGGCCCATGCTTGGCATACCATGCATGCTGTGGTGCCTGAACTGAAGTCAACACGTGCTCCTGCCATCCCCATACTCTGTTCTTGCTTTTTGCAGTCTCAGTGTGTGGTGCATGAGATCCAGTCAATGACTGACTACAGAAAGCTGGCAGCGGTGAGTGTTGTCTCGGGTAGTGCTGCACACACACTCATGCACACCCACAACCACACACACATACACATACACCACCACACACACAGACAGGCAAACACACACACACACACACACACACACACACACACACACACACACACACACACACACACACACACACACACACACACACACAGCTGCACCCCTGCTTCCAGGCCCAGTGTGTGTGTGGTGGACGAGGTAACGGACTCCAGAAAGCTGGCAGCAGTGACTGATTGGTCTCTTGATAGTGCTGCACGCGCGCACACACACAGCCGCGTGCATGCACGGCTGTATGCACAGCTGCATGTACAGCTGCATGTACAGCTGCGCGCACACACACGGCTGCGGCCATGGTTCCAGGCCCAGTGTGTGGTGCATGAGGTCGAGTCAATCAGAGACCACAGGTAGCTGACAGCGGTGAGTGTGTGCGTGAGTGCACTTGAGATTAACATTGAACGGCGATACTTGCTGATGAAGAACAAATGTAACCCACCTCATTGCTTCTTGAGTCGAATCAAAAGTCAACTCGAGTGTGTGCGTGAGTGCGCTTGAGATAAAATGTAACGGGGATACTTGCGGGAAAAGAACGAATGAAACCCACCTCATTGCTCACCCTCCGTTCCCTCAATCAACCCCACCCTCCCTTCCCTCAATCAACCCCACCCTCCGTTCCCTCAATCAACCCCACCCTCCCTTCCCTCAATCAACCCCACCCTCCCTTCCCTCACCATATTGCAGATATCCAAGTAGAAAATTATTATGAACATTCAGGTTTTGACGATTATCCTGTGGTAGGTATTACTTGGGAAACAGCTAAGTACTATGCGAACTGGCGCTCCCAGTATTTAAATGATTATAGGGAAAAAAAAGGATTACCTCCCTATCCTAGTTTCAGCCTTCCTACTGCAGCACAATGGGAATACACCCTCTGCTCCCTCTTTCCATCTGCAGGTGGAGCAGGGGTGGTACTTCACAGGGCTGGGAGCAGCAGCACTGCTGGGGAAGAAGTTGGAGCTGCTGGTGGGAGGGGCGGAGCTGCTGAGTCTGAGAGTGAAGAGGAATGTAACTCGCCACACTATCCACCCTCCGTTCCCACTCCCCCAACCTCTCCCCTTCCACCGTGTGAGCAGGTGGAGCAGGGGTGGTACTTCACAGGCACAGGGGCGGCAGCGCTACTGGGGAAGAAGGTGGAGCTGCTGGTGGGAGGGGCGGACCTGGGCCCTGTGGACGTTGAAGTGCTTATGGGAAGGAAACTCAGGGTGAGTGGCTCTTGGTCTCCTTGTTTCTCCTTGCACTTCCTTTCTTTCACCCCTTCGCTCTCACTCCTCATTCCTCCACTCTCGGTCCTTTGTTCTCATCATGGGAAGGGCGGGGATGGGCCCTGTGGACGTGGAAGTGCTCTGATAAAAGTGTGGTTTGGAGTTGGGCACTTTTGGTGGAATTTCTCCAATCTTGGTGCTTCTTGGTTCTCTCAAAACTACACTTTTATCAGATGGGCCCTGTGGACGTGGAAGTTCTCTGGCCATTTATGGTGTGAGTAGCATTTCATCCTCACTCCCTTCATCCTTCCCATCCCCACCATCAGGGAACTGGCAGCAGTGCACTTATTTGAGCTCTGTGATGTGCCTCTCGGTGCTGCAAGGTGCCTCTCGGTGCTGCAGACTACTCTCTCATTTGCTTCCAATGTGTCCCACCCCTCCTCTACTTCCCCCCCCCCCTCCTCCCCTTTCCACCTCCTCTCCACATTTCCACCATCAGGTGCAACGAGCAGCCTGTCGGAAACCTCTGCACCTCCTGCAAGGGGGTCACAGCACTCAGATTCTTTGACCTCTGTGAGGTGCCTCTCGGTGCTGCAGACTCTTGTCTTGTCTCACTTGATTCCAATCTTTCTCCACATCCCCACCATCAGGTGCAACGAGCAGCCAAGGGAGTGGCGGCAGTCAAATTCTTCGAGCTCTGTGAGAGGTGCCTCTCGGTGCTGCAGGGTGCCGTTCGGAGCCGCAAGGTGCCTCTCGGTGCTGCAGGGTGCCGTTCGGAGCCGCAAGGTGCCTCTCGGAGCTGCTGACTACTCATTCGATCCCATTGTTGCCCTTCCCTCCCCCACCATCAGGTGCAACGAGCAGCCAAGGGAGTGGCGGCAGTCAAATTCTTTGAGCTCTGTGAGGTGCCGCTTGGTGCTGCTGACTACTTCGCCCTCTGCAGTAAGAAATGTGCCCCTCGGCCGAAAGCCGCCGCCGCAAGCCGTTGACACAAGAGAAGGAAACTCATCTAGAAAGAAAATAATAGAGCCAGGAACTCTAGGTAGAATGGTTTTTTGTTTTTTTTTGTTTTTACATGTTCCAAAAACCCAATATCCCTTTGCGGTATGTCTCGTTCCTTCGTTGTGAGACCTATATAGACCCGATATTCCTTCCCAGTATGTCTCATTCACTTGTTTTGAGACGTTCCAAAACTCGATGACCCTTTTCCAGTTTGTTTTATTCCTTTGTTTGCAGCCTCCACAGATCGAATGCCTCTCATTTCTTCTATTGTTCCAATCTATCCCTTTATTTTCAGAGAATTTTCACACCATAGCCATGGAGGGCATTCCCATATTTGGGGCGTCTAACAGAGGGGCGGCGTATCGATTCGTCACTCTTATAGATGTGAGTGCGCCTTGCATTATTGCCACTTCATTCGTTACAGTGGCCTTCACACAGCATATTATCCGTCCTGTGTCGGGAATGTCTAACAGAGGGGCAGCGTATCGATTCATCACTCTAATAGATGTGAGTGAGTATTACTAGCGCTGGTTCCTTTCTATCAGCCTGTCCTCGTTCGTCTCTGCACATGATGTGTGAGTTGCATGGATGTGTGGACATATGTCTCATAGCCACATAGCATCCATGATGGGAGTAGCACATATGTCACATGATGCTACATGACATATGTGAAAGTAGCATGGCAGAAAGCCGAGTGTTATTGATTGGTGAGCAGTAGTGTTGTTCGCATCGTGGAGTGAAGACTGGAAACTTTGATTGGCATGATGACATGTGCCAAAGTAAGGAACACTGGCACACCAGTCGTCACACTTAGCAAAGTGTCACTTTACACTTAGCATACCACCTTATACGAGGTACCAGGTCACACAATTGAGCAGGAGACCCACCAAACTAGACTCGCACAGACGTTAGCATGAAGCTGTATATGATGAGGGTGTATATACCAGACTCCTGCCCTCTACCTATACGAGTTCTGTATATGCTGAGGCTTCATCCCTGCCTGCTACCCCAGTTGGCCCTCTCCCCCTTTCATTCCTTCCCCTCTTCCCACATGAGCATGGCGACAAGTCCTGGCTTGATTCGTGCTCAAGTTACTCCTGCTGTGACTCTCGGCCTTGTCTTTAGGCCTTGACTTATTTCTTCCCACCGACCCCCCTCTCCTCTCCCACCCCACTGGTCTGCCTGGTCTGCTCAGCAGAAGGCACTCCTGTTGAGCTTTTGAGAATCGTCAAAAGTAGATTCAACCACAACCCACCCAACCCCCCCCCTTCTCCCTCTCCCACTTTCCCCCCACTAAATCCCTTTTTCTCCAAGTGCGACACAAGCCCAAGACGCGCCTTGAGTTGAGCTCGAACCTGTCTCTGGATCTTGGTTTGTTACTTATCACCCAACCACCCATCTACCCCTTACTCTCCCGCCCCACCCCTCCTTCCTTTCCGACCCCTCCCCAGGTGATGTACGAGCACAAGACCCGCCTGGTCTGCTCAGCAGAGGGCACCCCCTTGGATGAGCTTCTGTGATTGCTCAAGAGTCAATTTCCTCCCCCCTTCCCGTTTCCCCCCCCCTTCCAAGTGATGTACGAGCACAAGACCCGCCTGGTCTTCTCAGCAGAGGGCACTCTCTTGGATGAGCTTCTGTGAGTTCTAAGGAGTCATATTCTTCCCTTTCCCCCTTTCCCCTCCCGCTCAGGTGATGTACGAGCACAAGACCCGTCTCGTCTGCTCAGCAGAGGGCACCCCCTTTCAGCTCTTTGAGCGTGTGGTTACCATCGCAAATGCGCCACGTAGGACAGCTGCCAGGTCAGCGAGATCCGAGGATGCTGATGTGGCAGTGGATGACGAGCTGGGATTCGCCAAGGACCGCACAGTCAGCAGGTGAGGCAGCAATCAACGACTCCCTTTGCAGGCGAATAGAGTGTATTCACCAATTCATGGTTCCCACCTTTTTGTTTCTATGCTCAGCTCTTACTGTCCTACCTATTTTGACCGATTTTCTGCCACAGGATGATGGAGATGCAGAGTACAGAGTATGAGCACGACAATGCGGTGGCTTACAAGCACATGTTACAGCAACCTTAGTACCTGGTGCAAATTTGCAAACGTGCTACATACATGCCCTATTATTGCTGTAAGGAATATAAGAATTTGTAATCTGTATATGCACAAAGTAGAAAATATGTCAAAGGTAGATGGGTTTGAGAGAGGGTGAAGGATATGATGAAATGTGAGAGAGTGAAGGAATTAAGGCAAGAAAAGGCATCTAGCACATTAAGTGTGATTTTGTTGTATGAAGTGTGATGTGATTGTATCTGTACTCACGCCCTTCTGGGGAGATGTACAGCGCCTTTCCGCTAGATATTATCGAATATGAGATGTCACATGTTCAGAAGTTTGTGAGTCAAGTATACCCCAACGACTTCTGTTGTCCAGGCGGTGTGATACGCACATGACTGTCACGACAGGCAAGACTTTGATGACATCGCGTCGCATCCCATCACCCCATCATATTTTCCCTCATTAGTGCGCTTCCACCCAGTTCGCCAGCAAGGCTGCGTCGCCAGCTTCGCAGCACCTCCAAGTGAGGCTTTCTCGCCACGCAACGACATGGTTGCCTGGCGAGGCGAGCAGCGATAGTTCGCAACATTGCAACGAGGACATTTGATTGGATGAGGCGGGTAGCTGCGACACTGTGTGAAGAAATGAGGAAGCATAGTGAGGAGCCATAGCTAGGGTTTAGCTAGCTAGGCAAGAGAGAAATGAACAAAAGGAGGGCTTTGCACTAGCAAGCAGGTGGATACAAATAGGAAACCCTAAGGGGTTGTACTCGCTATAGAGTACCCCACTGCAGGCTAGACAAGCATTATATTCTAACACACTGCTCGAAGTCGGTAACCCGAGAGGTCTCTTCCCCACCTACCAGCCGAACTCCCACCCACACATACAAAGCGAGGCGAAATAGCATTCCGACCAGGCCTTTTTTTTGGTTTTGGAGCACTCTTGTTTCCAGAGGCGTTTTTGGCCTAACCCTTAAATCCAGAGTGGCTGGCGAGCGTTGCTCTTAAATGTCAGTGTAACACGTGCTGTCAATTTAAAAACCCTGTTACTTCAGAGTAACTTTCATCTGTAACCCTGGTGGTTACCCATTGTTTGCTATTGCTGTTGCATTGCCAGAATTATTGAATTTTTTAAACTTTGTACACAATGACCTACTACCACAAGCTCACTCATCGTAAGCCACGTCATCCTCCCGTTCGTCGTCCCAACTAGCCTCTGGCCCGCCCTTGTCATTGGCTGGTTGGAAGGGTGCAGGGGATTTTGTAGGCCGCCTCTTCTTCTGCTTGCGCCAGATGTCCACGACATCTGGCCACTCCACGTTGTAATCGAGCATGTGGATGCTCATGAGTTTGGTGAGCCGCGTGTCGTTGAGAGCCGTGCGCTGCCAGCTCTTGATGATGTTCTGTGCGTGAAAATCCATGCTCACATTCGACGGTGCTGAGTGGCAGGACGGCCAACGCCTGCCACAGGGTCATGATGTTGGGGTAAGTTCGCCGCCAGTCGCGTGACCTCAGCATGTTCGTCAGCGCCTGGTAGAAGTCCTCGTCCTCATGGTGCGTCCTCATGACGTGGCAGAAAGTTTTCAGCTCAAGTTCGGCTGCCCGCATTTCGAATCCTGCCAAAACAGTAAGCGCAGCACAACGTTTTTTATGTACGGAAATGTTAGGTACACATTGACGAGAGGCATTATTTCAGGGAAAGCACACATACACGATCGAAAAGATATACACATACCTTGCAGCTGGTGGTTGAAGAGTTTAGAGTTCTCGCGGAGCCACGTGGCACAACGTCTCACACGCGTGTCCGGATTCGCTGGCCACTTGTCCACCCTGAAAAGCTTCAAGCCGCCCATTCGACGAAGATCTCGCATGCGGTGCTTCAGGTTGTACATGACCTCACGGGCGAAGGCCTTGCCCAACTTCACGCAATCTGCAAGCGTCCCGCCGAACTTGTGCTTCTTGTCCGCCAGCTCGCTGAGCTCGAAGGTGTGCTTGACGCTAGCGTCCACGCCGTCCACCTTCACCATGTTGTCCCCTTTCTTGACACGTGCCATGAATGGAGACAGGATGGGGCTCAGACCCGCCCCGAAACCACCATCGTAGTCGATGTAGCGGTGCTCGATGAGGGACACCACACGGTCGACCTCCTCTGTGACTTGCATCACCTCCACCAGACGCACCGACATGTGCGCAAAAAGGTTTGTTAGTCTGTGTGGGCAAATGAAAATTAAACAAGGCTAAACGAGTGTATCAACAATCCTTTCGGGCACGTTTTACCTTGCGTCGTTGG